GCGGGCCTTTGCTTCCCCTTGCGCGGTCGCCTGGGCCTCGCCAGCAGGTGTTGTGTGGGGGCGGAACTCATATCCGTCGCAGGGCGCCAGGTGCGACGAGCGCGGTGCCGTGACCAAATATTAGTTGTGCGTTTGTCGCTGGGCACGGACCTCGCCGTGCATATTTCTCTCCCTGTGGTGTCATGGGGTGCCTGCATCCCCCTGTTTCTCTGTGTCTGGGCGGGCAGGTGGAAATGCGGCGGCTGCGTGCGTGTCTGTGGAATAGTGGACCAAAAGAATTGCGGAGTGTTGCTGCGGCAGGGCCGTGGCTGTGTTGCTCTGCCGCGTGTGCGTTGGCGTGCTGCACCCCCTTTTGCCGCCCCGCCGCCGTATCCAACTGCTGCCCTTCTACCGCCAATTTTTCTTGGGGAGGGAGTGGGAGGGAAGCAGCGCTCGAGGGTTGTGTGTACTGTTAAGAGGTGGAATTGGACAGGTGTGGCGCATGTAATGCGACAGCGTGGCGGTGCGACTGCGACAGTAGTTGTACGAGCAGCGGCGGTGGTAGCCGGAGGCGCTGTAAGCCACAGAACGATGTGGCGGTCATTTACGCGTTGCCGGGCATACACGCCTGTGGGCACGGTTCAAGACTTCACGACATCGCCGCATCACGTGCGGCTTGCTGAGGTGCAGCGGGAGCTGGATGAGATGAGCGGCCATCGCGTGACGCACTTTTACGAGGGGCTGACCATCACCATGGCCCATGGCCCTCGGCCCTCGTCCACTATTTGAGCCTGACATAAGGGAGGATCCCGCCCATGACGAGTTGCCGGAGCACTACGTCGCCGCGCGTCAGCGACTGATGACGTGGCAGAGTAACAAACAGTTATGGGGAGTCCATTCGCGGCGTTGCTACTCCGCCCCGCCGCCGGATGCAAACGCACCCAGGGCATATCAGCAGCCACGAGTGGAGCTGGGCAGTGCCTGGTGGACAGCCGTGACAATTATCGCGGCGGTCTTTTTTTTTATTATTGGCAAAGTTTGGTCGATAGCGCGTGGGAGATGCACGTGCTGCGCAGCATCCGGGGAGGCGCCGTGTATTTGTTAGTTTCTCTCTCTCTCTCCCTCTGTGTGTGTGTGTGTATGGAGGTGGTGGCGAGGAAGGAATAGAGGACAAAAAATGATGCGATGGTTTCAGCACTGCGCTTTGCCTCGGTTTTTCTTGATTGTTTTATGTATGTGCGCAGACACTTTGAAGTTTCCTGTCGCGCTTCGTTGTCGCTGCCGCGTCGCTTCCGTCGGCGCAGTTGGGGCTTCCACGTGGCGGTTGCTGCCATTTCTGCACGGGGGCATTTTTGTTTGCGTCTGCTTCACTTCTTTTGTGACGTTTTTGTTTTTTCGCGTGTGTGGGGGGCTGACCAGCAAAAAAAAAAAAGGAACATCAACACATGGCCGCAGGCACGCTGCGTTTGTTGGCGCCGGCTGCGATGAGGGCGATGGTGCGGTGTGGGGTGCGAATTCCGGCCGCCGCGTACACCACCACCGCAGTGGGTCTCCAGCGCAAGCTCACACTGAGCAAGCGGCGCCTCAGGCCGAAGCCGACGCCCAAACCCGGCCCCTCCATCCCCATCTGCATTCTGCTGGTTCTCATCACGCTGTACATGACGTACATCACGCGGAAGTCCTCCAGCGACGACACGGTGCTGCGCTGAACGCAAGGTGGGGAGGAGAACGTGAGGCGGCCTGAGGGCAACATCGGGCTCCGATATCGTTGCGGGGTGGGGAAACAGAGGCGTCATCTGCTTTTTGCTTGCTGTGCCGTGTGAGTATCGGCCGCCGCACTGCGTCCTATGCCTTCACGCCCGCCACGCCATTGCGGGCCCCTTTTTCCTTCTTTGCCTTCAGTTATTGTTGTTGTTTTTGGTTTTCGATCCCGTTCGGCTTGCGTAGGGGTGCATGAGGCGACGCGGCGTGTCGGCTGTGCTGAGAGGAAGCTCATTTTCCCCACAGCGTTCGTGGCGGCGGTGTGCATCACATTGACTGGATCCAATCTTGATGACGCAACGTACACCGTCCTCGGCAGCGGCAGAGGCCGAGAAAAAGACTGACGCGGCACAGACGGCGACGCTCACGCCGCGTTGTGGATGGCGGGGTGTGTTGCATGCTGTCAAGCGGACGCTTACCACCTCCGCCAGAAGCCGCTGGAGCTGCACGGACATCATTGACGCAAGGGAGTACGCCCGTGCGCACCGTCGCCGGTTTCAACGTACAAATGACGTCTTTCATAGCGCCGGGAAAAGTGGACGAACCCCCTCATATGAAGCAATAACGTTGCATTACAAGGGATTCGAGTGGTCCTACATGCTGCTACCAGCATCCCTGGCGCTGCTGATTGTCGTACTTATCGCTTTGGTGGACGGCAGGTGTCACAAGGTAAAAGGTCTAGGGGAAATGAAGACATTTGAGCAGCGTGCGGACTTCTTATACTCCATGCGCAGCGAAGGCGCAAGTGGGGAGGGAGCTGATGCGTGCGCACCGTTGGGGAGGGAGGGGACGCGGTGCTGAGGGCAGGCGGTGGCCGTCGTGATGGCGGTTTAGTTGTTATCTGCTGCGGTGCAGAAGCAGGCATGTTGCGTGATTTGGGCGTCTCTCTCCCCCCGCCTCCAGCTCACTGCCCTTCTCCCAACGAGTTGGGTGGGTGGGAGAGGACTCGGTCGTGCAGCGTGTTGGTTCCTTTTGCAAGCAGCGTAGTTTCCCTTTCTTTTCGCTTTTTATCCTTTACGGCTCCCTCTCTCACCCGAAGCAGCTGACGCAACGCAGGCAAACAAGCTAGAATAGCAACAGTAATAAAGAAGGAGTAGTGCTTGTGGTGTTGGTGGGAGGAGACGACGCCAGCTGACATCTCTGCGGCTCCAGTGGAACACGTAAAGAAGGTGGTGGGAGGGAAATGGCGCAGAACACGGCCGATACCGCTCCTCTTTACTCAACTCTGGATGAACCTATCACAAGCACTATCGTGCGGGACGCGGTTGCCATTGGACGAAAAATGCTTATCGTCCTTGTCCCGCCGCTTGGGGAGGAGAAGGAGCTCCGCGACTGGGACTTGTGGGGGCCGTTGCTTCTTTGTTTGCTGCTCGCTATCATCCTTGCCGGTTCGGCGGGGACAAATCAGGGTGGTCTCATCTTTTCGGCGGTGTTCGTGCTTGTGTGGGGGGGCGCCGCTGTCGTGACACTCAATTCGAAGTTCCTTGGCAGCAAAGTCTCCTTCTTTCAGACGGTTTGCGTGATGGGATACTGCCTCGCACCGCTTTGCATGGGTGCCTTACTCGGCGTCTTTATCCGCGTCTTCTGGGGGATGCTGCTGATCTCGCTTATCGTCTGGCTTTGGTCCTGCTGGGCGGCTCTGCGCTTCTTCCGTGGCTCTGTTGTTCCTGAACGCGAGATGCTTGTCATGTACCCGGTTGCCCTCTTCTACTCCTTCATGACGTGGATGGTTTTCGTAGGTGTTTGAGAACGTAGCATGTGTGGGTGCCGCCCGGCTTGTCGTGCAGTGCGTTTCGACACGGACAGCGGCACGGAGGGAACACGGCACGAGGGCGAGAAAGAGGGGCGGCGAACCAGGCATCATGCATTCACTCCGTGAGGCTGATAACAGGGTGTTATGAAAACAGTCATTATTATTATTTTTCTTTCTCTCTTCCTGCTGCTCAACTGTTCAGGCCGTCTCTCTTTCCCACTTTATTGGGCCGGATGAACTTCTGCAAGTGGGTTTGGTGTGTCTCAGCTGCTCTTTCCATTGTGGCGCGTCTCCCCATGTGAGGCGGTGCCCCGTTGGCGGGAATGCCCTCTTTGCTCCCCCTCCGCACTTCCAGTGTGTTGCACTCACTTTTTCCTTCGTGCCCTTATTTTTCTTTTTGCCATCGTGCGCCCTCTTGGCTCGCAGAAGCCGCATGGGGAAAAAAACAGCAACGACAGTGGCGGCTTCTCCTTCCGCAGCAACCGGCGCCGTCGCCACCGGCGTGCCGCACAGGCGCAGCCTACGCCCGCTGTGGGGCCCGGGTAATGCTCTTTGAGTGGCTTTGTTACGGATGGATTGGCGAATTCGGGGGGGGGGGTGCGTCGATGCTGGGACCTCTGCACCGGTCGGATGCGTCGCCTCATTGCCAGCGTTGAGTGGGAGGTGCTACCGTCGCAGTGGCCGCCAGCACGCGGTCTGGCACCGCGCAAGCACGACGGAGTGGTTCACCGTGGGCGTCCGTTTTGCCCCTTACACCGCGGCCGCTATTCCTGTGAGCCGGTGAAAGGTATTAAGTTGTTGGAGGCGGATGCGGGTGGGGCTCCGGAAGCCTGTGGCCCTAGGTGTCCTGTGGTCGCTTGTCAGGGCGCATAGGTGTCGGCTGTGGGTGCAAATTCCCCACAAACCGCTTGCGAATTTTTTTTTGTCATTGCACTGCCCGTCATGCTGGTGCAGTACGACATATATCTGGCGAAGGTGGATGTATCCAGGTGCGATGGGTTGGGTTTTTTTCTTGGCGTATTTGTTGTGAGTGATCTGCAGAGCTGCGTTCCGAACAAATGCGATTAAATGAACATTCGCGCCGTCGCCATGTTTGGGAACGCCTCAATGGTTTTGCTTCTTGAGCAGCATCCGATGATTTACGGCAAGGCACTCGTTCGCCTCAAGAGGAACATTGGACGCATCAACATGGCGGGCGACATCATCGGCAACCCCGGGGAGGAGGGGGAACTGGGATTTGGTGTGCCTCCTGAGCGCACCTCTCTTGCGCTGACTTGTGTGGTGCTCCTCCTACCGCCTTATCGGGTGGCGTGCCATCACTGGTGTGGCGGTCTTCTTCCTCACCTTTTATTTGCATCTTCTCACCTCAAGTTGGCAGTCAGCTATGCGCGAGAAGATGGCGGTAGTCGTTGACAATCGTGTGCGTGCGGAGAACGAGCTTTTTTTTTTCTGTGGCATCTGTGTGGTGAAGTTCACTGCATGGGAGCCGTACTTCCTGGCGGAGACTGGGCGCATCAGGAAGAAGGTACTTGCGTACCTGAAGCGTGTCCAGTGCACAGAGGTGGGGGTTAACGGGGCCACCGCAATGCCGGCCACTATAGTGGTTTTTTTTCTCCCTACAGCGCACTCAGCCATGAACTCCCCCCACCCCCCATCGATGACTTTCCAGCTATTGCGCTCCTTGGCACCCTACACCTTCTCGTCTACATGATCCCGGTTATTATTATGGCCCTGCCACGGTGCTTCATTTTTGGCGCAGCGCTTCACTGTGTTTCCGGAGTACAACGATCCCGCCTTCAGTATTGGTGCCGTTGCAGCATCTGCCGTCGACAGCCTGACGTCGCCGACATTCGAAACTGCGACGTTTGTTGCGTCATTACACTCTACCGGAGAAGAAGTGGCTGAGGTGGCCACGCAGCAGCGCCCTGGCAAGTTCAACGCCGTTGCCGACGCAGGCAACATTCAGCACATATAAAAGTGGCGACGCAGCCACCAGGGGCGGACGACACCGCCATCCATCAGTTGGTAGCGAGGGATATTTTAAGGGGCGTCTCCATCGAGGTACCAAAGGGCAAACTCACTGTGATCATTGGGCCCACTGGAAGCGGTAAATCGACGCTCTTGGCGGCACTGCTGGGGGAGTACGAGGTGACGCGCGGTCGTGTGTGGGCCACGCGAAGCATTGCGTACGTGCCGCAGCAGCCATGGATCATGAACGCGACGCTGCGTGAGAATGTACTTTTCTTTGCTGCGGAGGACCCCGGGAGGCTGCGGGAGGCGGTGCGCGTGTGCCAGCTGGAGCCTGACCTGAGGCTGCTGGCGGGCGGGATGCAGACCGAGATTGGCGAGAAGGGCATCAACCTGAGCGGGGGGCAGAAGGCGCGCGTGGGTCTCGCGCGGGCGGTGTACGCCGACCGCGAGTTGTACCTCTTGGACGACCCGCTCTCCGCGCTGGACGCCCACGTTGGCGAGCGGGTCGTGAGGGACGTCC